ACATGGTCAGAGTAGGGGAAGAAGAAGATGTTGGTCCTCCCTTTTTGACAGAAAACCTGACAGATGAGGGCAGCTGTAGTGTGCAACTGCACCCATAGCCATTCTCCCAGGTGTCCTGCAGGAACACGCAGGACTCACACAGATTCCACTGTTCTTGGACATGTCTTTTTTTCACCCAGCTTCAGATTAGACACAGGGGCCCTGCCCTGGTGAAACAGAAAGAATCTTCAAGAATTAACTGGTTTCTCTGCTCGCTTTTCTGTTTTCCACTTATAAACATCCATTGACTTTGGTAGAAATACCTTCTTCTCCTACTGCATTGCATGAGCCAGACCCAAGCGTTCAGTAGGCTCAGTGAAGCTCTGCTGACTTGTATGATTTGAAAGTGTGGGCCTTTGTGCATGACTGGGATGTACATTATCTCTTTAATAACACAGAAATAACGTAAATTATTCCTGATTCTGCTTTTACGTGATCTGCCTGATTTAATTTTCCCAGTCTGTTCCCCTGCCATTCTGACACGATCTCAGAGACTCATGGATTATAGTGACTTCAGTAAGGAATCAGGCTGACATTGGTAAGAAATACAGACGCAATATCTTTTGAATTTATATATTATGCTTTGTAGTTCAGGCTGATAAACTTCAGAAATGTAATGTACGCTAAAATGAGGAAGTCTAAAAGCCATGAAAAATAGAATTATGTGTTGAAATTAAAGGGCTCTTCAGATCAAACATGAGGCACTAAGAGGGAAGTTTAGTTAAAGGTTTGAACAGCGTATAGGATGTGGTAAGGCATTTTATATTTTTGGAAGGAAATGTGGATAGCAGCATATCTGGTTTCTGAGAGAGTTTGAGATTTTCCAGGAGTGGAATTGTACAATTAAAGCTGAGAGATGGACAGCTATACTGGAGACCACAGTAAACGCTATTTTGAGGCTCCAGCCAATGTCATAGAGTTTATAAGCATCATTTGTCAGAAATAATAATAAGGAAACGTTTTACATCTAAATTGCTATGGGAAACTCCCGGTATTCTTCAGATTTCATCTCATTCCAGTTTCTCAACCTGGATCTGATTCAAGACCTTTGAAGTTCCTGTGTCTGGATTTCAAAAGAAATGAGCTGGGACATGGGACAGATAGCAAGATCTAGGGCCAGTCTTCTGAAGAACTGAGCTCCCACAAATCCTCATGAAATCAGCTTCTGCAGAGCCAGCCCCTGCCCCAGTCTTCTCCCGCTGCGCATGCTTTTAATGAGAGTTTAGGAGTCAAAGTTTTGGGCGCTTTGCTTATTTCTGCCCTCATGTTGTTGCTTACTGATTTACTCAGACTAGGTCAGATCCCATCTCCTCTATGTCCGCTCTTGGCAGCAGCAACAGCCAGTCTACTTCCATGCTTGGAAGGGTGGAAAGTAAGCATCAGGGCCATGGCTAATTTTGCTAGGCCAAGTGCTTGACTGCCCTGGGGAATTAATTGTTTTGATTATGCTTGATTTGGTTCTCTTTGCACCCAAGAAGTTGATGGAGTACAGAACTTGGCCTTTATTGTCCTAGTTACTCAGCTGTGGATCAGCATTATCTAATGTAAGTTGTTAGAGGTCCTGTGCCACAGCAGCCCAGCTAAGACCAAGTTGTTCCTAAACATCTCAGGTCAATCAGCAGAAATCACTAGTTACAAATACTGAAAATCTCTTTTGGTCCAAAGCACATACTTTTTTTTCCTTTTTTGGTTTCGTGGGGTATTTCAATAAGGGTCCTAGAAAATGCCTCACACATTTCTATTTTTAACTACTATATAAGCCAGTTTACTGTGTACCTCAAAAGCTTTTTCAGGAAGGCAGAACAAGACAGCCATTGCACTAGGGCTATGCTCATTAAAAATAATTCCCTCTTCTTGAGAAGAGACCTGAGCATTGCCTAGAAAAGGAAACTGGGAGAGAAGTGCCAGCTTTTGCTGTTCTCTTATTCTTTTTTTCCTTCTTTCTGGCGTGCCTGTTTAGAAAATTTCTTTGCATAAATCTTTACAAACAGACTTAAAGTTTTTTTTGCTTGCACCAGCGATGGAAAAGCAGCGGTTAGATGGAGGGGACTGCGAGGCACCTGGTTTGCATCATGCAGAACCACCAGAGGTCAGACTTAAACTCCTATTTGTTTCTAAAGCTGAGCAGTTAAATTCAGACTGACTTTTATCCTTGCAACAGAAAGTGCAAAAGTCTCACAGGACATTTACTGCATTCCTTCTGTTCCTGTGAGACTGCCTCCTTCCAGAGTATTTTCTAGCTCATTGTGTTATACACAAAGGCCTCTGGTTTTGCCTCATGCTTTTTGGGAGCTGGTGGGACTGTCACAACTGGTTTGAAGACTTTCCTGATAATCAACCTGGAATTACCCTTTCTTTTCATCCCATCACCCATATCATGTCTTGTGACATCTCAGGTATGAGCATAACAAATAGTATATTTTTGAAGGGGAAGAATTTGGCTTGCACAAATTACCTTGGACAAGTTACATGTGGCTTGTACAAGAAGTGGCCAATTTTCACAGCACTGATGACCCTTTTTGAACAGGTGATTTTCAGGGTGAGCATGCGGAGAGGTCGGGTCCTTGCTCCTGTAGCAACTGCGAATGCCTGAATGATGAAGTGAGTAATGCAACCTCCAATAGTGCAAGAAAGAAAGGGTTATAAATTCTGAGCCTTTCCAAACAACCTCACTTCTCGCTCAGCTTTCTCCTCTCCATTGTGCTGTGTGATGGGAACAGCAGTATTGCTGCTGCATAGCACCAGGGACCATCCCACTGGTAGTCCATAGACTGCATCTAGCCTACAGGACAATTTGTGCCTTGCAGAGGGATAGGTGAGGTGGGACAGCATTGGAACTCTTACAACTATTGAATACTTTTTAATTCCTTGCACTTCTAGTTGCTTTGGCCCATTAGACTCTCCCATGTTCATATGAAAGGAGGAAGTTGCCACAACAGGAATCTGGCCTGTGGTGGTAGAAAAAGCTGGCCAACATACTGTGTGAGCTCAGCACCTCTGTCTTGTGGGAACACCACTGTGTTCTACCATAGCCGAAGATGCTGAGCAGGTGGAGATGAGGGGGTGAAACTTGTGTGGGTGGGTCAAACCCCATTTTTTGGAGAATGGTGGACAAAGGGGCACAACAGATGTAGCACAGAAAATAAAACTTAAAGCAACAGAAGTCAGAGGCTTGTCCATTGTTAGAGTTAAAATTTGAGCAGCAAAGCGTTGCTTGTGGCTGTGGTGTGGTCGTAGGCTGGGGATCGTGTGCTCTGAGTCTGTAGGCGTAAGACGGATAGGGAAAACTGGCAGTAGGACAGACTTTCTTCTGCCATATTAGGTCAGCATGCTTCATCCTTGAATGGATGCCTGAGGAGTAACAGGGTAGTTCAGCCTGCTCAGTCTTTAATTGCCCAGCTGACTGACGGTCAAAACAACCAGTGCCATTGAGAGCTGCTTGTAACTGTCCTGGATGAGCTCAGCTCTGGCAGGAACTGAAATTAGTCTATAGGATCATATCACATAGACTGCAAAATGCATTTGGTGATCTGCAATAGATGTGGGCCAGTAGTTTGGAGGTGATTTACTCAATAGTCTTTTGCCAATCATGAATCTTGGGCATGGTCATCTAATTTTAAAGTAGTAGTGAGAACCGTGCCAATATACTGTTTGCCTCCTTTTGTGTCTTGGTGTCAGCCAGGAGGCAGCGGAACTGGTAATGATCAAATCCTGACTTTCTCAGTATCACAGTTGCAAAGAACCATAATATCTAACCTTTAAATGCTCCCTGTACAAGCTAGACCACAGAAACCAGCTGGAGTCCCAGCTACTCTTGTGTTGTCACCAGACCACCTCATTAGCCTTGTGACTTGTTAAACATTATTCTGTCAAACTTTGTTCTCCAGTCTGCCATTATTCAGATACTAACTAAACAAACTCCCACTAGCTCCCTTGGGGATCATTACATCTCTCTGCATTTATGCTGTGGCAGCAATAGTTTAAGCTTGGATTGTAATCATAAAGAAATTAACTTGCTGATTAAAAATGGTCCTTTAAGCAACATGCATTTGAATAATCCATCATAAAAACAAATGAGTCTATAGTGGTGCTTTTGACTTGATAATCTTTTTTCTGCTTAAAATTTAAATCAGTTGCATTTTTTTCTCTCAGTCTGTAGCCTATAGAAAAATACAATGAATTACTAAAAAGAAAGCAATAGTTTGAACTGCAATAGCTGTGGTGTGGAATATATATTTTAGATCTGTCACTGCAAGATAGATTTGTACGTCATGGACCTAATTGTTGGCTGAGATATCCTCCAGGCAATTCCATTGACGTTAGTTGTGTTACACAAAAAGTAAGTTAATGCAGAAAATTTGGTTTCAGATATTTGCAAAGTGTTTTGAGGATAAAAGACCTGCACATGCCAGAGCTGATCTAGTTCTTGTTGAAATCTGTAGCAAAGGTCCTGTTTAATTCAACAAGAGCTGCTGCATCAGGTCTGATGAATGCAGCAGAGCTGTGTTTACAAGTAAAAATTTGGAAATAGTGACAGGTCAGTCATTTTAAATATTGCATATCTCTCCCTACCTGTGGGTGCAAAGTGAACCATTAACAGTTCACAATACGTGACTACTTTTAGACAAAGTCACTCATTTTGTGGCTGCTAGCTGTACTGGTTGTGTGATGAATACAAGAAGTATGAGAAGATTTATGTGGCTGGAGAAAGATGCAAAAGGACACCTCTAACTTATCTGAGAATATTTGACACTGTTCCTAAAACTAAAGAAAAGCAAATTCAAATCTCCTTGCTTCATCACTTTCCCCCATCACAGTTCCACTTTTCTAGATGTTTGTACAGTCCACAATAATTCACATCTTTCATCCCCAGCCCATGCCACAAACCCTCCATGTCTCTATTTTTAAAAATCAGCCTTTATCAGTACTGGTCTCAGCATTAGCAACCTGATATTCCTCACCTTTTGGTCCAGGTAAAATTGTGTGTGTCGAGCAGACATCTGTTGTAGGTCGATTGTCAACATCAAAACCAAAAATCTGAACTTGGAAGATAAAAAGCACTACTAGGGTTCCGTATTTCCTTAGCTGTTGTTCTTTCTTGCTGCTCATCCTTGCAGCTTCTCAGGAAATGCCTTTCGTTGTTACAGTCTTAACAAATGCAGCTGACTCAAAAATAAATGTTCCACTAACTGAAGCAGTGCAAAGATTGGGAGCTACATGCAAGAACAGCTAAATAAAGTGAAGAAAGGAGTTCGACGATGCTGTAGTTATTTCTGTCCTGCACATTATCCAGGATATTTATTTAACACTGACAGCTGTTTACTCCAATTTATCTCTTATCTGTGAGATGTTTAGCTGCTTTTGCCATGGAAAATTTCTTCAATATATGGGAATATCTCTTTTGTCATTTTTTTCCTTTCAGCACTGACTCTTCCTGCCCAGCTTTTCATTTACTCAGGAGACAAATGGCTTCAGTATTGTACCCAAGTGAGTACTAATTAGTTATAGGATACTTGTGGCTGGTTGCGTGGTGGAAGAGTAATGCAGACTCCATATAACACGGGGAGAGACTTTTCCACAAAAGCTTTCCTCCAAGGAGACTGTTAGTGACAATGGACGATCTGCCAGTCTGCTGCGAGTGGAAGTCACTGGTGCTGTTTCACACCTTTTGGGCGCTAGGTACCCATAATCCCCAGAGTAGCAAATGAAAAGTTGATGTTATCAATGGGTGTTTCAGCCAGAAACCACAAATGATGGTTTTATGCTTACGGACTGCTCCACAATGGTTGCTCCATAAACCCAGATTATAGTAGACACAGTACAGAAGGATAGACTTCAGGATTGAAGCCACAGAGCAGGATGAGCTTGAATGACTGCAGTACCTCCTCCCACATCACCTTTCTGCTATACTGGGAGAGGCCATAGAGTAGCATAGGTCCCAGCAGAACTTAATCTTTGGGTTGTCCAGGAAGCTGCTGCTGGTTCAAATCCGCATGAGGTAGCTGTCAGGTTTTCAGTTGGGTGCTGGGACTTTGAAACTAGGTGTAGGAGGCCTCTTGGATGGAGGAACAGGTAGCATGCAATACTACTATATATCCTCTTGGAAGGATCTGTGGCAGATAGCCATCCATGTGCAATCCCTTCCTAGAAAAAACTCTAGCCTTCTCTTAGGGCAAGCACAATAACGGGGGACAGCAGACCATTCGAGGTAGCCTGGCAGAAAAGAAAGGGGAGGTGAGTATTTGTAATCTTTCCAGGAATTTTGTTAACTTCTGGTTTCTCATACAACAAAGGAGACAGCTACTGGAAAAGCTGAACTATGCTTTTGAACTGCCTAGTATGTGAAAGCATGTTTGCTTTCCATTCTAGGCAAAAAATGTTTTTCCTATGATAATAGCTTTTGAGATGCTTTCCTCATTATTTAAGAGAGTATTAGTTCCTTAGCCCTACAACTTTTCAGCCTTTTGGCAGACAGAATATGCAGCAGCACTCATGTAAAAGTGAATACCTTTTCTTAAAGGCGGAAGGAAGGCTTTGATTTCAAGCTTTCATCTGGGATGAAATGTCGGCCAAAGTCCCAAGAGGGGTCAAGACACTCCTCTCCCTCTTTCTTTCTAGTCTGGTCACAGACTGTCCCACTTTTTACAACACTTTTTTATTAAACTGTGTATAGTACTTTTCAGAAATAAATCATGGTCTCTGTCCTAAAGAATGTCATCTAACTAACACCCTCAAATGTGGCCTTGATAACAGATACACCACAGCTAGAGGAGAAGGAAAGAGAAAGCTGGGATTATAGATGGATAGAGTCGTACCAGGAATAAACTTGTTCCTCTGTGATTTGCGTTGGGCACTGTGCCTCTGACTTGTACACTGTAAATCTGTTTTATTTATCTTTTTCTTCTCTTCACTTTCCATTTTGTGAGCAGAAGGTCAATGTAAGAGCAAGAATAGAGAGCGTAGGAGTGGGAACCTAGTGTACTTAGCTTTGGAGGAGGCATTTTGGGAAATGTTGCCAAACTGACGTGAATGATGCTATCTGTTCCACAGTACTGAGAGACTTACAGTGACTTCTTTGTTATTTATCAGGGATAAAGAGGGGTAAGTGTAATTGAGAGGGGAAACCATTAGTTTAACCATTTCAGTCACTGACCAAGACTAAGCAGGGAACATTTTTCTGATACTATTATTGCTGTGATCATTTACAAATGTTCTCATTCCACATTAGAAAAGAAATCTAGATTCTATTTTTTTTTTCCTTCATGGCAGTCACAAAACCCCTAAAGACACAGTGAGAAATGAAGTTTAATATATCCAAGAACTTGGTAATGAAGGCACATACTTAAAATGTAAGAAATGCAGACTCGAATTCTTTCTCTGCCTAATTCAAACCAGTGTTTGCACTACAGCCTTAAGGTTATATTGCCTTATTACAAGGCTGTTTGCTAACCACTTATGTCTTTCTGTATGTTGGACCAGAAATCCTGTCCTGGAGCTAGGAAACCTGCCTTAACAGGCAATCCATCAGGACTGATATACTAGCATGAAAAGCTTGGGGTTTGGCAAATCGGTATTTATCAAACCAGTTTCATTGAAAAATCTTCAAGCAGCTTCATTGCTGATAGAAATTTAATGAGGCACATTGTCTGTTGTGCATATTAATTCTCATGGTATTGGGCTTAGAGAAATGGCTGTAGGCAAGAGAGAAAAACAAACTAGGTAGTGTTGTCCAGACATAAAGCAAACATTTCCTAGGGCTTGAATGTTTTACAAGGAAACTCTGAGAAGACACAAAAGAAAATCCTGAAAGATTCTATTCCTTTGAGATGAGTAGTAGTCAGGTAACCTTTGTGCAGCGCATTGCCTCCTCGCAGTCCAAGTACTTCCTTGGTAATTTGTATTACCTTCACTTGCTTATTCTTCAGACGTTAGTAGTTAAGTGTCAATAGACTAATGAGTACAGACAACATGCTAAAATAGTGTTCAGCAAAAGGTTGCCAGATCTCCAGACGATTTTAATAATTCGTAGAGCCTCAGATCCTGTGGTTGAACTCCAGGTTAATACATCCTGCTCATAACCATGGGCTGATTCAACCAGAAGTGCTGAGTCCGCTGGCATCCTTTCTAACCCAAATTTAGTATTAAGGAGAACTTTCATCTTCTGTACCTTACTGTACTGAATAAATCTGGGGGCATCTGAAGTAAAAAAAAAAAAAGTACAATATTTCTCTGCTCTGGCATCCTAGATTATTTCAGTTCTCCTGGTATCAGAGGTCATGATGATTTGGAGTGTTTCAGCCTGTTGTACTGGATACATCAACCAGGGTGGCAAAGCTTAGAGAGAATGGAAGAGGAAAAGCAGTAACGTGGTTTGCCAAGTGTAGGGTGGAAAGTAATCCTAGGGCTATTTTGTAAAACGTCATTTGTGGTTTTGACACCATGCAATGACTACTTGAGCCTGTAAACACAGTCTCCAACAGTTGTTGTTCCTCTGAGTAAGATATAAACAATGACTAGACCTTGATACGCCTGCAAATAACTGACAAAAAGAACCAAAGACAAACTTCTTGAAAATCTCCTTGCTTCTATGTTCAGTAAACAGGGCTTGTAGGACTCTAATGATTTTGGGTAATTCTTGTTGGATATTTGAGGGACTTCATCAGCCTCAGCAGTGTGGAAATATATGTTCCCCTATCAACTATGATGTCCCTGGTTTCTTGCTGGTGAGTTTGGCTCTCTGTTGAGTTGGGTACCTTAAGGAGTGGGTGTGAGCCTTCCCTGGTCTGACACAGGGATGGCACTCTAGGAGAACCTTAGGTCAGCTTTAGATCTTACAACCCCTTCTTGGGATACTTTGATAGCTCCAAAAAAGCTGACCCAGATTCCAGCTGGAAGTGTCTGCTGCCAGGTGGGAGGGATTTGAAGACAGCTGATGTCCAGAGAGCAGAACGGCTGGTCAGCACTGAAATCTCAGAAGGAGCTTGGGTTGCAGACCACAGATTAAGAGAGCTGCTGGACACTTTGTGATGTGCAGTACTGAACCCTGTATCCCATTTTTTAAACGGACCGCAATTGAGTGTAACTTCTGCTCACTCAGGTAGCACTGCGTTACAACTTTGTGTTTCTAACTTTTGCACTTTGCAAGAATTTACTGGCTCACAGTGAATGTGTTCTAAGGACTTTTATTGTGAACACTTTCATTGAGAATACTTCTCTGACAGTTAGCCTGCAGACTTTCAATTCTACTGAAGATGCCTTTGACTTTACTCGTACGGCATCAGCCTTACTGAGAGGCCTAAGACAGATACCTACTGCTATTGTTTCCCATGCAATCACTTGGAGAAGCTGTCCAAAAAAGTAAGGCATTCACATATGCATTCAGAGATGTGATAGAAAGTGAAATACTCGGTGTGGTTTGTAATTGTGTTTATCTAAGTGCAGCCTCTTCCTGTGTCAGAACAAATTTTTGCAAACAAGAGGGCAATGATTCAGTTCCAGGGGAAGACTGACAAAATAAACCCTGGCTTCTGCTGACCTGATGCAGTGCTGAACAGTGTCCTACCCTGGGAAAATATTTCCTGCTTCATTTTCATAAATATTTATGTAATTCCTTCTGGGAAACATGTCTTCTTCAGAAAACTGAACATGCTGCTCCCTGACACAAATTTAACTGTTTGTTTACACATGAGAGATTGTGGGCATGTACCCAGCCTCAGATTTTTACATTCTTATCTCACGCATTTCTGTCTTTTAGAGTTCTCCTTCAGTCTCCTCCTAGAGATCACATCACGTCCTGAGCCATGGAGCTTAGTTCTGGCTCTGGAATTTGAACATCCCTGATGCTCTTTGGAGAATTGTTATTTTGGGCTGCAGAAATAGGGACCAAATGTAATGTTCTGCCTGGAATCACACTTCTGTCCTGCCCAGTTATGCCCTTCCCATTCTGGTTTGAGGCTTCCCTCTAAAAAAAAGAATAAAAAAAAAAAGTAAGCAATTAAACAGAGGATTGCATGGCTAATAAAAGTATTTATATTTAGAAACAGACCTAAACACACTGCTGTGAACTGAAATAGAACTGGCGTGCAGTCTTTTCAGTTTGCTTTCTAAGTTTATAGTAGGGATTAGTGGCGAAGTTGTACACAAGTTGCCCCAAAAGAACAGGTATACTCCCCACCATGTCAAACCGAAAAAGGTTGATCCTGCTCTCTTTAACATTTTTTAAGAAAACAGAAAAGTCACTGGCCTTGAAAGACAGACTGACAGAGCCTTGTATGAAGCCTTGTAGTAGTGCAAAGCAGAGCTTTGCTCACCAACATGCTCACAACCCTTCCATGAAGTGGTGAATTGTGTGGGGTGCTCCAGAGAAAGCTGTGTGATGGGTGGAAGACATAGTCACAAGAAATGGCAGA